ATAAGGTTTTGAGTGCACATGAGAAGCGCCTATTTACAGCAAGTTGCAGGAAAATGAAGACAGCCAAGCATGGGAACGTGGAGTTCACACAGTGCCAATCGACTTGTTCGAGGCAGTAGGGAAATTGGAGGACTTTCACTTCTCTATTCCAAGTTCTTTTACAAAGCAAATGAAGATCATTGATTACATGTCAGAAATGGATAAAAACCGAAAGAGCCCCAGATGAAAGGCGTTGCAATAAATTAATTTTACATATGAAGTTTAAAAGTTTCACTCGAGATGAATAAAAGCTAATTATAATGGGAATGTCGTGAAATCGGATTCGAGTTAACGAGTTTTCACTGTATTAAAAAAGGGGTCAATGTTGATGGAAATTTTCTTCTGCGGTTATAGATGTTGTAGCTGAAGAGCACCAAGATTGTGTTTAATTCTTCTGGATTTATAACATTTTTTAGGCAGACATTTGTGGCCCAGTTTGGGAAAAAGGGACAAAATATTGGGAAAATTGTGCGCCATCCAATAAATAAAAAGAAGACGTACCTAAAAAGAATGTTCTTGCTATGGATGTGAGTCGGTTCCCATCTCTGCTCATTCATTTGACTTTATTCAAGCTGGATTCTGCTATGTTTTGGAGTGCCTCAAGGCAGTGATTGCCGCAGGGAATCTAATTTCGAATATTATTACGCCAGGGAGGGGGACTCGAGCATAAATGAAACTCAATTAGAGGCGAAATTGATGTATGCAAATCAAGATGAAACAATCGATCGGTCTTGAGGCACGAGACACGACCAAAAAGCAGAATCACGTGGCATGCCTCATTTGTTCCCTCCCTTTGAAGGATACCCCTTTTTCTATCGTTTAATACAAGAGAGTCCGCTTAAATCGACCAGTTGACCTTTCTTTTCCAACGAGTTCCTTTTCGGGCTCGTAACTGCTCCCCTCGCCCCTTCCTTCTCGTTGGTAATGATATTGGGTTTACAGTACACCGACTCGGAATTTCTTTACATACTGCTTTGCCTTACGTCGCTGCTCGTGCGGTGAATGATGAAGGAAAATTAGTACGGGCTTCAATCTTGTGAAGAAACCGTGATGGTCTACGACATGTCTTTGAGTCGAAGCCGAATTCCACACGACATGAACTTGCGCGTCGCGGTTCCGCCGTCCTCACCCACACCAGGGACGATTTCTGCGCATTGGTTTCGGCTTAGACTCGATACCCCTCCGAAAAATGAATTGAATCGTGACAGAAGGCATTATTCTTCGCTAATTCGGAGTATTGTGCGGAATTGCAAACTGAACAGGATGATGAATGAGAAGGTACGCTCCACAAAAATAGGGAAATGCGGGAGCTTCTGAGAAGGTAATGAAGAGAGAAAAGACAGACCCAGATTACTCCCTCTCACGTAGTCTGCATTTAACTGCTCCCTAAGAGATCGCCCTTGCCTTTTTTCTTTTTTACAATTGAAGTATTTTCAGGATAAAAAATGGGAGTTCACAGATACTAGTTCATTTACTGGTGTGGTTTTGGAGAGCCCCTGTTATGTTGTGATGTCGTAGATGAATGAAATGAATTGAAGCTATGGATTCATTGACATGACAGAACTGGATCTGACCACATCCGCGAAAAGGATGGATTGTGGGCTGTCCTGGCCTGGTTGTCTATTCTTGCTCACACCAACAAGTCAGTTGATGAAATTCTTCGGCATCATTGGAGTACATATGGACGCAATTTCTTCACCAGGTACTCCTCCTATTTCTTTCTTTTGTTTCTTCGTTCAATGACCAAAATAGATTCTTGGCCGGCATTCAATTACCAGCTTGTTTTTTAGTCTGAGCTGCAGTTCTAGTCTGTTTATAGGGATTCTATTTTCACAGCAATAAAATTGTTTGGATGTTTTTGTTGTGCAACGAATGCAAATTCTTGACTGAGGAAGGGAATCCTTTCAGGTATGACTATGAGAACTGTGATGCTGCACCGTGCAATAAGATGATGGCCAACCTTGATGCTATGGTCAGCGATGCAAGTCTTGTGGGCCGTACCTTCTCCCATGGTGGCAAGGAGTTCAAAGTAGCAAAGGCTGACAACTTTGAGTACAAGGATCCCATTGATGGCAGTGTGGCTGAGAAACAGGTTTGCCCATTCCCATTCCTCATTATTTCTGTCTTGAATGCTTAATCCTATGTAGTATTCAGTGCTTTGGAACATTCATACCATAATTGTAATTGTGTTATGTGTGATGCAGGGGATTCGAATCATCTTCGAGGATGGCTCACGTATTGTGTTCAGACTCAGTGGAACGGGAAGCAGCGGTGCTACAGTTCGTTTGTATATCGACAGCTTTGAGGATGATCCCAGCAAGCAAAATCTTCCTGCTCAAGTGACTACTTTCATGACCTTTTCAAATTAATCAATAGAGATTTAAAACATCTTGAAACAAATTTTTAATCTCTATTGATGGATTTCTGTTGTACACAGCCATACTGAGAATGTATGAATTTTTCTAATAGGAAATGCTGAAGCCTCTGGTGGAAGTATCACTTTCACTGTCACAGCTACGGGAATACACTGGACGCCAAGAGCCAACTGTCATCACATAACTGCTGGAATCAATTCTTTTTCCCTCCTGTCTTAGTGGGCTCTCACAATTCCCAATTTCTTATTTTTTAGGTTTATCTTCAAACTTTCACATTTTTGTTATATTTCTTGTCATGATATGTTCAGAAAGTGCAAGGTAGGTCTGTCTAGTCACATAAGATTACACTTCTTATCCCATTTAGTACCCATATTGCACACTGCCATGCTGAATAGAATTTCAGTTGTACTAGGATTCTATCCAGACGCTAATCAAATGCCCAGTTTTATCCTGTATGTTTAAGCAGGATGGTCTTGGTGCTTTCATGTGATCACAACTTTGTCTTCATGGGTTTGTTTATTTCCCCCCCCCCCCTTTCTGCAGATCTGGTTGAGTGCTATATCATTGAATAAAAGAATTTAGTAGCCTTGATCTGCCTTTCTGCTCAGTTATTGTCATGAGACCAGGAACTGGAGTTGAATCCAGGTTCTGGGGAAGCCAACTCTGCTCTATCCAAAACGAAGAAATGTCAACCATATTTGCAAATATTTTACTATTTTCTTTAGAAAATGTTCATTAAAATAGTGGAAGGTTGGCCTTTGTGATTAATGCAATAGTTCACGAGGTTTCTCACGAAACGTCTGTTTTTTTTTTCTGTCTGTGCAGTTTTGCACAGCTTGAGTTTAAATTTTGTGATGAGAAAGACTTTCTGTAGCAATTTCACTGGCCATAAAGGGAAATGGGATAATTCAGCAAATGATACATGCCTTGCAACAAGGAAACTGCATCCTATTACATAATGAATACAAAAGAACTTCTACCCAATATATCTCTGAACATTCCTCTTGCTTTGACACCACTCATTAAGAGTCGCAGATCAATAGAGGGTAAATACGCGAACTGCGATTAACTTGGGCAGCTGCTAAGGAGTACATATGGGATGACCCTTTTGTATAGTTGACCAATCAATAGCAGTCTTCTGCAATACTTCGATGGAATGAACACAAACGGAAGGGGGAGTAACAGCACATGCGCTGCTCGTTCGTGACGTGAACAGCTCGTGGTGAAGGCTCCACAATCTCAAAATCGTTCGGCTAGTGCGACGCGCTACCAGCCATACGCCAATCGTGCGAAGGGTGAGTTTCAGCCGACGCAGAAACACAGCGTGATGCACCTCCGTCCTCATTTCCCATTCCACACTCCGAGACGTTTGGAGTATCAGCACGGTGACCACTCCTGTTGCATAGTATGATTCGTGGGGCACTGCCACTGTTTTGTTTCTGTATTGATCGCGTGATACGTATGTTAGGCGATGTTGTTGCCCTCATTGCCAGTTACTTTCGTCAGCGGGTTCGAGCAACGCATGTAGCCATACGTTCGGCCCCAAGTTTCTATCTGTTCCGTCCAGTAACTTTTGCAGGAAACCATTCATAAATTCTATACTTCAGATCTTTCAGCAGAATGAGTATCCATTTATTACAGCAGATTCTTGCATGAACAAAAGGATGAGACAGAAACAGCGGTAAAGTTAAAGGCTTGAATTTTTTCCGAGCCACCGAGAACATTGCTGCAAGGTCATCCGTCAAAGGAGAACGAGGCACATTATACAGTATAACTGTGTGTACGTAGTTGCAGGTGATGTTGGAGGGGGACCCGCGAAACACGTGTTGAAGTCTTGGCCTCCATTGGTCGAGCCTCCTTGCCTGACCAATCAGGATTGGTTTGAGAGCCCAGGCTCCGCCCCTCAGGGCCTAATAAAAACCCTTCCGCGTGCTTCTTCTGTCAAGCTTCTTCTGACTGCACACTTATTAGTCACCGTTTAGCACCAACCAGGTAATCGACTTTTTTAATAATAGATTTAAGAGAAAAAAGCATCACATGTTCGACACGACTTGGTTCTTTCGTTTAATAGAAACCGAGGACTGGGTGGATATCTCTCACTAGATTCCCCTCCCAGCCCCCAAATAAGGAGAGAAAGGTCGCTAGGTTCATCACTTTTCCTGCGTCTCTTTCCCCCCCTCACGAAATACAGAAATACAGAGTGGTGTAATATGAAGAATGCACCTGTCGCGGACTCGTGTCTTTTCGTATTGATTGTCATCAGAAGGTATTATTTAATTTGTGTTGTGTGCAGATGTAAAACCATCTTTTAAAATGGTTCATTTAAAATGAATACTACTCATGTGAACAGTAACTCGCGTACAGCTGGTTGTGCATTTTATGGCGCCACACTGTTGTCTGGCAGTATTCTGACGATCGCGTGACTGCTTGCTTCGGTTGGAGTCAATAATTCCAGAATCCGAAATCGATAAGACCCCCCAACTTCATGGCTTTCTTTTTTTTCCCTCTCTCCTCGTCGACCTTGAGTTCCGACCGGTTACGTTCATCCGCAGCCCTTGCACTCAACCCTTGGTGAATATCTGGGACAGGCTTCGGGTCCGGTAGTGTAGTGTGTTGCGTGCACGAGTCGGTAGTTGTGACAGGTTGAAAAAAAATAACTCGTCCTGTCGTTGCCTCAGGTGTTTTTAGGCTTCTGATAATAAAAAAAAAGGCCTTGAAAAGAAATCGGAAAGAGAAAGCACTCTTTTCAGCCTATTCTGCTACTTGTAGGTTACATTATTACATAATCTTATGCAGTATTATATATAGATTATTGTTGTTTTATGATTGCTTCCTTATTTTATTTTCCTTCGTTTAACTTTTCTTCTCCCATAGGAGATCGGCACAGAAGCGAAGGATGTACCGACTAGGAATCGGAGTGAGAGCTTTAAGCAGCGGATGCGTGGGTCCCCGCTTCACGCCCCTCGTTCTCAATCCCGTGGGGTGGGATCAGCTCAATGGCAATGGGGCTCCGAGGAGGCTCTACTCTGTCAAGAAACCCGTGGACGACATATTCATTCGCATGGAGGAATTCACGTATCGGCACATCGGGCCCAGACCTGCCGATCGTGACGAAATGCTCCGTTACATCGGTTACAAGGCAAGATTCCTTTACTTCCAAAGGAATTTGAAGGCGTTTCGAATTGTTAATCTTCTCACGGAGCTTCAGTTTCATTTTCTTTTTATATTCTCAAGCGCCTCAACGCACTTATCGTAATTATGTATGTGTTCATATTTATATTGGGCGACATACACCATATTCAGTTTAACTTTAAACTGATTCGTTTTCATAGTGGGCAGCTATGGGAATATGTTCATCTGTTAAACTGATTCCCATAGGAGACCATTGTGAGATCAGATTAGCTTAATCGGATTTGGTGCATGTCACCACATTGTCTTTTATGTGGTTGAATTTTGCTAAGAGTTTTTTTTTTCTGTTCTCTTAGACGATTGAGGACCTGATGGAAGACACAGTCCCAGCCGAGATTCGACTCCGGAGAGACCTAAACCTCAACGAACCTCTAGGTAAAATGCCGCTTATACCCTCTTTCTTTCTTTCTCTTTCATTGAGCATGAGAAATGCGCCTTGAACTTAGGCATATCTGGAGAGAAGAAAGTATTCAATGCAGGGGAGATCTGACAGGGGATAGAAGCAATGATGAACGAGATCGCTTAGCCTGATATCTCATCACCCCTTTTGGTATATCAGGCCCGACTGACTCCGAGCCGCATTTATACGACCAAGACATCCTGTATAAACCCCTTCTGTCGAGGAGGAATTCTGAGAACTTGTTCTCAGAATTCCTCCTCCACTTGTTCTCTGTAGCTTTGTAATGGTCAGAGAAGAGAGCTTGGCCATTTTCCGCTAGACTCGGAAAGGAAAAGACCTAAGGTTGAATCCATCGCAATCTCATCCCTCCCCCAGGCAGAGTTCAACCTTTTTTTTTGTCTTCAGCGCACTATCTGCTAAGCTTGGAGGAAATACTTCCACCAGGCTAGTGGGGTTGTGGTAGCATCTCTTGGGCTTTGAACTTCGGTATTATACTAGGTATGAGGAATATAAAAAAGAAGACTTTTACTCCGTTCTTACTGGTGGCTTTTTCACTAAGCATGAGATGAAGTAAGAAGTACCAACTATTATTGAAGAAGCGGGATATTGGAAGTGGACAGGTGCCTGTGCTGGTAGTAGAGTCGAGCCCTTTGGTTGCATATCGTCCAGGCCTCGTCGAACATCTCATTGAAATTCGTACTTGGGACTGGCCTTTTCTTGCAGATGGCTTCGATAAGCCCTTTTTCTCATTCATGTTTCCGGCTGGCCTTTGTTGCAGATGATTTTGATAAGCCTTTTTTTTCCATTAGTAACTGGGTACGAATACCGAGAATTTTCTGTTGTTATTTTGCATTTCTCCTCTTGGAGGCGGAGTCAGGAGTGCTGTTTAGTGTTGAATCGTCAAAGCCACTTTCGGGAGAAAAGTCCCATCACATAGGTCGAAAGCGTAGCGTTATCATAAAACTTATCATTTAAAAAATCCATTCCACGAAGCCACAGCGCATCGAATCTCGTATGCACGAAACTACAGCGTCGCATATCTTATGCATTAAAGCAAGTAGTCTCGAAGCTGCTCGAAAAATTAGGTATGCAGGGAGAGGGATGCAGGAAGTCATCAACTGAATTCTTAGTTGATACGTGCGATGGGCATTTCTGTCCCCGTCCCCCCCGCCCCCCATTTATGACTGTTAAGTTTGATTAATTTTTTCTGGCAAATGAGGAAATACTTCTCAACTCCAAGCGTTCCCATCACCTTCTGAGGGAAATGTAATAGAATATAAGACTTCACCCAAAATTCCATTGCTAATAAGAACTTGCGCATTATTCTTTCGTTGCATCAAATGCGGTCCTTCAGGGTGTTCGGTGAATACCATAGATGCAGGCAAAAATTTTGGATACGTGCGGAAAAAAAATTCTACTGTTGACATACTGTCAAAAGATGTAAATTTCCCAACCTAAAAAAAACCGCTACTATCGTGTTATCCCAGCAAACGATTTGAAACACATAATGTCGAATCGATATTGAATAGACATTGAATAAACGTTAGGAACGTTGATACAACATTGGTCCCATGTAGCCTTGTTTGCTGGGATGTGCCCTATCGAAAAGGAGTACACTCAGTATCAGTATCACTGATATACGTAGAGAAGTGTGAGGCAGGTTGAGGAAACGGAAAAAGCGTTAACCTAGCCATAGGTACTGATCTGGCCCAAGACAGTTGAGTGTCATGCACCCGAACCATGCGTCCACGTGGACGCTGTATCGGTTTGGGTTCGTGGGCGCTGGATGGTTCGGGAAATGAATACCATGGGTACCCATGGTATTCATTTCCCCATGGTATTCATTTCCTGTCTGGAATTAACTATGCCGCTTCATGAAAACATTTTTTTTTTTAGGAAGACTCATGATTCAAAATATGTGCGCCCAAAATCCTACACAACCAAAGTGTCGATGTTTTGCCCTATATCTTAGATGCCGTTTGATTTTCTGCTCTTGATGAATTAACATGTGGTGAATTGTGAGCCTCTTGATCTGAATGCCATTAAAATTAATTATCGTAGGCTCATAACGGGACAGAATGAGGTCCATGCAGAAGTCACTTCTCAGGGATGCTCAGTATGCTTTAGCATGCCTTATGCTGAGTTACCGTTTCGACAATACCATTTCTTGCATGATTTCATCCAAATATATGTTTCAACAAGTGATTCGTTTGCCCTACTTCCTGTTCCCGCACTTTTTTTGGGGCATGATTTCATGCAATTTTCACTCTATTTTATAATGAAGGTTTTGACTTTCTATTGACTAATATGTGTGGAACATGTAGGTGAGCATGAGTTGGTGAAACAGGTGAGGAAGGTGTGCTCGATGAATGAGGTGTGGCGAAGTTACATCGGATTGGGATACCACAATTGTCACGTTCCTCTTCCCATCAGCAGGAACATCTTTGAGAACCCTGGATGGTAAATCTAGAATGTATTTTCTGCATGTTGTCATTACTGAACTGTTGGCCATCACTCTTGCTTTTCATTGAACTTCTTGGATTGGGCTTTAACTTTTCCTCTTTTCTCATCTTAGATGAAGTCTGTGAATCCTAATCCTGAAAGATATATTCCTTCCTATGTCTGAACTTTCAGCTTTATTTCCATTTTCGAGAAGTATACATTTTTTGGAAATTTTTTTGCAGTACAAGTGATTGTGAAAGTAGCAGCCTTCAATCTGAATGATCATAATGTAATGTCAAATCATCCCTCTTCATTTTCCCCTAGGATTAGCCTGCTTATGAGTACTGTGCTCAACTGCCAGCACAAATTGAAATACCGTTTATAAAGTCCTATACACTAGCCTGCGCATTGGTTGTCTGATATGTATTGCTTGAAATTTGGTTAAACTCTTGTCTATGTCTGACTCTGAATATCTTATGCTCAGTGGATATATTTTGCTGTGCAATGCTTAAATGAATTTAATGAAGGGATGAATAAGTGCTGTGGCTGATTTCAATGTTCTGCTTGGGAGATTCCAATAACATTGACATAATGGGATGTTCATGATTGATTGGTAGGACAACACAGTACACGCCTTACCAGGCGGAGATAGCCCAGGGGCGACTGGAGAGCCTTCTAAACTACCAGACAATGGTGTGTGAGTTGACAGGGATGGAGGTGGCAAATGCCTCCCTTCTTGATGAACCCACTGCTGCTGCTGAGGCCATGGGACTCTGCTTTCGGTATGTCATACACCTCTTTTTACTTCTATATCCTTCTTGAAGTTCTCTCATAGATTTGGATAAGAATGTAGGGATTCTGGCAGGTTTTGTTGGGAATAGCCAACGTGAACATTTAGATTTTCCCTTCTAGCCCAAAAGACAGCAGATGGTTGCAAAAGGACTGGAACTTGATTCTCATCCATTTAGAAGCTTTAGTTCAGTGTGCACTCAATGACTTTCTTGGGAGGAATGGAGGCTATGTCTATATTTCATATTTTACAAGTATTAATGTGAGTATAATTTATTGACAGCTCCATGAGTGAAGAAGATCCAACAGTCTTAAATGATGTACCTTTTTTTTACTGACCTTATGTGTACAAGGGCTACAAATAAATACTGTTATTAATGAACATTATAGTAGCAATAAATTGACTGTGTCACACCCATAACCATAAAATGATTGTAAGGCATAGACAAGGATAACAGAACCAGTATGGTTCTGCTGTTTTTTTTTTGTCTGTAATGCAAGAGTCAAATGAGCTTGTCTACTGTCAGCATATCTTTCTCATGAAACAGAGTAAGTTCCATTTCAGTAAATTCATTATATTTCTATGCATTCTCTTAACAGGCAGAATCGGCGAAAGCAGTTCCATGTGTCAGATAGGGTGCATCCACAGACGATTGCTGTTGTGCAGACCAGGGCTGAGGGTCTTGGCATCAATGTCACTGTTGGTCCCATCCAAGATCTGGATTTCTCTCAACGTAACATCTCAGGGATCATCATCCAGTATCCTGATACCTTTGGGAGCATTAATGACTACAGGAACATAATTGAGGATGCAAAGAAGAATGGGGTTGGTCGTCATATTCTATGCCTTACTCTGTTCTAAAATACCAATTGTCATTCAATTTCCTCTCATTCATTATACATTAGCATGCAGGTTACTTGTGCATATATGTGACATCAATTTCTGACCTAATATGTAGTCCTTTCATGCTGATGTATTTATAAGTAGTGCAAGTCCTACCTCCTGTTGCCATGTGCAAAGTGTGTGGCTCAGTGAAATGGGTAAACAAGTGATTCTGCTGATAGACAGCCACATATTTCCTACATTATTTTCCCTGTCTTTGCATAGGTCTCCTTGCTGTGAAGATAGCTATGAAGTGTCTTTGGAAAGCTCTCCTCATTATCTTTGACTCTGCATAGAAAACATGACCTGTCTTCAAGAATTCTCACCAGGGCTATTGATGAAAGTAAAAGGGGTCCATACAGCCAGAAGCTTCTCAAGGATAATTGTGATATTTTTTATTTTTAAGTCTCTGCTTTTTTGGGGATGAGGAGGATCTGAGGGTGACTATTTTTTTACCCCAAATTAATAATGTGAACAGGGGTGGATACAGGAATTTTTCATAGGGGGGGTGCTCCCCCCACCTATCACCACTCCTCATCTTTTCGCCTTTTTAATTTTTCGTCTGGGGTAAGAACTTGAGCATCAATTCCACTGGCTCTAATAAAATTTAAAGTAGGTGCTATTTTGAATAAACAAATCAAATGCTAACCTGGCCATAGGGGGCAGTCGCCCCCCCCCCCCCCCTCCCTGTATCTGCCACTGAATGTGAATTAACAAAACTGTATCAAAAAGAAAAAAAAAATTCATTTGCTTAACCATGATATGTGGAAATTCACACTTATATATGACTACATAAGCCATGCTAGTTTGTTTACCTTTTTTTGCTCTCCAGCCAATCTCAATGCAGCAGGCCCTCTGCCCATTGGCACTCCTTATTAATCTTGAAACAACTCTATCTACAAAATTTATTTCAGGATGCATAATTGATAGCTCCCAAATTTGGCTTGTTGCTCTGGCTTAGCCCATTGAATGGTGTACAAGTATAATGCTTGATTCCCCAGACGATGGTATGCTGTGCAACGGATCTCCTGGCTTCACTGATCATGGCCCCAGCAGGAGCAATGGGGGTTGACATAGCTTTTGGGAACAGTCAGCGACTTGGAGTGCCCTTAGGCTATGGGGGACCTCATGCTGCATTCTTCGCCTGTAGGGAGAACCTTGCCCGCTCCATGCCGGGTCGCATCGTCGGTGTCTCCATGTCTGTCGTCTCTTCTTCCTCCTCATGATTTGTTGATGGTCCTTGGGAAGAAAATTCTGTACATGTTGAAAGCCCGTTGAAATCAGTGGGGGAAAGGAGATAAGCAGGTCCTGTCAGGCTCCCATTTTCCTCTTTGAGGGCAGTGAGAAAATTTTGTGGTTGCTCAATGTGTATGTGATTTTGAGTTGATGTATTCTGATGATTTCAAGAGATGCATCTGGGAAGCTAGCATACCGACTGGCACTGCAGACCCGAGAGCAGCACATTCGCAGAGACAAGGCCACATCCAACATTTGCACAGCTCAGGCTCTTCTTGCCAACATGTCTGCCATGTATGCTGTCTATCATGGTCCACAAGGTCTCAGGGATAAGGCTCTTCGTGCCCACAACACCACCTTACTGCTTGCTCAAGGTCCTTTGCTTAGTCCCCTCTTGTGAAATTCCATACATTCCTTTAATTTTCAAACTGGTGTAATTTTCTGATGTTCTAAGTGCCATTTGAATGTGCTTACTTGTTAAATATTATTCTTCCATGTATATATTCTTTTTTCTATTTTTTATGTTGAAAAGGTATGATAGAGGCTGGCCACAAAATCCAAAATGACTTATTCTTTGATACGCTGACCATCACACCCTCACAAACCTGCCCACAGCATGAGATCAAGAAGAGAGCTGAAGAGAAGAAGATCAATCTTAGATATTTTCATGATGGAATTGGTTCTGTATGTTTGAAGAAAAGCACTGCAATCCAATCAAGAGGATCTGAAGTTGGTAGTTTTCATATTCTTAGTGCATCTTGCAGGTGGGCATTGCATTGGATGAGACTGTGGAACATAGTGATATGAATGATCTGCTCTATATCTTTGGCTGCCCCCTCAACACTGATGAGGTATGTGCATAATTAAATCAGAACCCTGGAATTTATTTATAGTTTATATTTTTATTCAAATTCCTCCTATTCTTACTTGGTTATTTTCTTTATTTTATCTCTCTTTATTGTTGGAAAATTCATCCTTACAACCTAAAACATGGGAAGGTTGCATGTCTCCATTCATACTAAAACTCCATTTCCATGTTTCATTTTCCAGCTGTTTGTGAGCCGTGAAAGAGAAATATTTTCAAGAAGCCTTCTTCAGAGTGCCTTCGCACGTACAAGCAATTACTTGCAGCAACTAATCTTCAATACGCATCACTCAGAAGCCCAGATTGTGCGATACATGAAGAAACTAGAGAACAAAGATATCTCCCTTGTCCACTCAATGATACCTCTTGTACGTCACACTGCATGATGGAATAGTGTAATGGGCTTGTGATATGATTGCATGAAGTCATATTTAATTTCTTTTGAATATTAACATGGAATATTTGTACTCAGGGGTCCTGTACAATGAAGCTGAACAGTACAAGTGAAATGTGGCCCTGTTCTATGCCGGAATTCACGGACATCCACCCGTTTGTGCCTTTAAACCAGGTCAAAGGCTATATAAAGCTTTTTGAGGACCTTGAGGCTGCCCTCTGTGAAATTACTGGATATGACAAATTTTCTTTCCAGCCAAACAGGTTGTTAAAATTTTTCAGAATGCCTTCTCTGTCTTTTCAAGCATCCTTGATATATTTGTTCCTTTCTGCTGCTTTCAGTGGTGCTCAAGGAGAATATGCTGGGCTTAGAGTGATAAAAAAGTACCTGCACTTCAAAGGGGAGTCCCATCGCAATGTGAGTCCAACTATAAAATATGCTTGAATAGTCGATGAGTGCATTTCTAATAATAGGGATTTGGAATATGTATTACGAGTTGTGTAAAGGCCTTTTTTTCACTGGTCAAAACTATACTGGTTTTTGGAAATTAGACTGTTTCATAGGACTTGAATTCATGTTCACTTTATTTCCTTTTGGCTTTGTTCTCTTGTTTGATACTGAAGAAAGAACATTAATATTCTTTGAATCATCAATCTTCATAAATTGGCATCACTTTGTATAATATATTTGTTTGCCTTAATCATACTTCCAGTGGCAGCTTGTGATATTTAGTGTTAGTGGCATAAGACAGGCAGTGAAGAGGCATTAGTGAGAAAACAAACTTGTATTCATGCATGGATAGGCAGGACATTTGCCTTTTGCTGGATATTCATTTCACAGGACCCTAACTTGCATTTATTTTGAATCATGCATATCACAAATATAAAATGATGCCAAAAAAGGATTTTCCAGCAAATGAATCAAGAAAATACAAAGATATGCTAATGAAGATGCAAGTAATGCAACACAGATGATTCCTAAGTAACAAATCTCTGAAGAATTGTTTCCTCTTGGACAGGTTTGCCTTATTCCGATGTCTGCTCATGGAACTAACCCAGCCTCTGCTCAAATGGCTGGCTTTAAAGTGGAACCTGTGAATGTGGCCAGAGATGGATCCATTGATCTGAAACAACTTGCTGAGAAGGTAATTCACTTTCTATTTCCTTGTTCTTACCCTAGAATCTATTCTGATAATAGTATTTTCATTGCAGTTGGATAAAAATAAGCACAACCTGGCATGCCTCATGATTACCTATCCATCTACCAATGGGATCTTTGAGCAGAACATCACTGAAGTCTGTAATGCCATCCATGAAGCTGGGGGACAGGTAAGAGTTTTTGAATTCATTGCTTTGTAGAAATGGATGTTGCTCACATCAGTGTTGATGCTTCCAGGTATACTTGGATGGAGCTAACATGAATGCCCAGGTTGGCTTATGCCGGCCAGGTGATTTTGGGGCTGATGTTTCTCACCTGAACCTCCACAAGACCTTCTGCATACCGCATGGTGGTGGAGGTCCCGGGATGGGACCCATTGGAGTGTATGTACCCTCCAATGTGAAAGATTTCCTTTCTTAAATCTCTTTTGTGAAATTGATTTTTATAACTTTGCAGGAAGTCACACTTGACTCCCTTCTTGCCCAGTCACCCATTGGTGGACATGAGTTTCTTCCAGGGTGACTGCACCCATTCAGTTGGCTGTGTCAGTGCAGCTCCCTTTGGTTCTTCTGCCATCTTACCCATTTCTTGGGCTTACATTTTGGTAATGCATTTCCTTAATATAGAAAAAAAAAATTAGAATGTGTTCAATCTAGCTGTTTGTTGCACAGATGATGGGTGCCAAAGGCCTGCGCAAGAGCTCAGAAATTGCTATCCTGAATGCAAACTACATGTCAAAGAGACTGGAGGGCTATTACCACACATTGTTCAAAGGTTTCAAGAACACTGTGGCTCATGAGTTCATTGTTGACGTCCGACCATTCAAGAAGACTGCCAACATTGAGGCTGTTGACATAGCAAAGCGCCTGCAAGATTATGGTATATCATGAGTCCTCTGACGTGATGTATACAGAAAATGAGAAAGCACTTATGATTATTTTGTGATGCTAGGCTTCCATGCTCCTACCATGTCCTGGCCTGTTCCTGGAAGTCTGATGATTGAACCTACTGAATCTGAAGACAAAGCTGAAATGGATCGGTTCTGTGACTCTCTTATTTGTGAGTATTGCTGAACACCAATTATTAGGTATTCAAAATAATTTCATAATGTGACTTGGTTTAATGAGAAACTCATATTGAACAGTGATTCGTGAGGAAATCAGGGAGATTGAGAATGGGAGTATGGATCCTGTAAGGAACCCTCTGAAGATGTCTCCTCACACTCAGTCAGTGGTCTGTGCTGAGACCTGGGATCGTCCCTATTCACGGGAATTGGGTGCTTTCCCAGCAGTAAGTAGCTCTCTCTCCTAATTTTTCTTTTTGTACAAGAAATGCAGACAGGCACACACTTACAGCAAATCAGCAAGTAATGAACTACAAAATAAACTGCACTGTTTTACATGTCAGAACTGGGGAGAAAGGTTTTTGACGTCAAGACAATTGACTTTCTGGTAGAAGCATGGTATTTGAAGCCAACTGTAGAAGTAGCAGAGCTAGTATTCATGCAGTAAACCACCCAAGGTGGGACCTGCATGAAGGGACCTGGTACATAAAGCCCTTCCTGCATCAAAGTTTGAATTATTTAAAAAGGATTTTGTCAAAGAAGTCAGCGTTAAAAGTTATATGCTTCTAAGTATGAGTAATACGATATAGACAGAGTATTTTCATGGTATTTTTTTAACTTTCACAGTTGAAACAAATAATGAAAATTTGATGTTCTATCTTTGCAGCCCTTTGTATGTCCCACAACAAAGGTGTGGCCAACAGTGAGTCGAATTGATGACATTTATGGAGACCGACACCTGGTATGCACGTGCCCCTCAATGGAAGCATATGCAAGGACCGATGCCTTGCCTTCACAGAACGTCTCTGGTTGAAAACTGTGCACAGGACAAATCATTTATTTTCATCACCACATTACTTCATTTCATCACCATGGTGGACTTTTTGTGTGCCAGAAAAGCCATGGATATTTGTCTAATATGAAGTCATATGCTTTCTTTTATCAGAGTTTACAAGCATATGTCTTGGCAGCACCATAAAATGACTGTGAAAATGAGCAATAAATTCATCAGCCACGTACAAAAAAAAGACTAAAAGACAACTCCAAACAAGGGAATGATGTGAAACATTAGCAATTTATAGAATATTCCTAATACAGAAGAAACCATCTGATTATGATGTCCTCTGTTGCTTCATGGAGTCACCTCAGGTGGAAAGTCCTTTGGGAGGTTCCAAATACCTATTGCAGAAAACATAAAGCTCTGAAATTAAAAAAGAACAGAAACATGAAGATAAGAAATACCTTTCCAGGTGAGTCCTCAAGAGAAATCCAAGGGTCAGATATAGGAAGTAAGCCAACGTTACATTTAAGAAAAAAAGAAGAGCCAAATAGCTGCAGGGGCCATCAGGATACCAGAGGATCACAAGGAAATAGAGAAAGAAGAAGAGAAAAAGGGATGCACATGCTCCTTTTTTGCCTTTCCCGCTGTGGTTAGAAGAACTTCCTATACCTGAGACAAGGGGTGGGTTGTATTCTTCTGTAACTGCATGGAAAATTTTTGTTGATTGGGACCATTACTGTCGCTGCCAAAATCAATTACATTAAAATTCAGAATTCACCCTCTTCGTTGTTTTTGACAAAACAATGAAGAAGGTGACCTACCAATTTCATTCAGAGTTTTGTTTTCCTCTTACATTTAAAGGAGGAATTAGCATATGCTGCTAAGAACCATTGCTGGTTTTCAGAAAAGTCATGCTTAACGAGTTAATCAACTGAACAGCCCATGATTAAATTAATTAACATTTTCTATCTTTTAGTTGCCCAAGACAGTGTAGCTTTAATTCCTGAACTTTGTTAATTAGCAAATTCAGAAAAGAATACCTGACAAGTACCTGGTGGTGTGGATGGGGGCAATCCATGGTACTTTGATCGATGGCGTGAACAAATGTTCAATCTCTCCTGAAGCATGGCATCATCCAAATCACTTAGAGCATAAAACTAGGGATAGGAAAAACAAAAAGGATTAATAGCCATATCAACATGGCATTGAAGGACATCACTTAGGTAGTGCAGTTGTTGAGACTCATTAGAGAACCCTCACATTCCGACATTCATCACAGTCATTCCCATACATTTGCTGCCGTTGGGCTTTCTTCCGTACTGTCTCTCCCTTATATTTGTAGGGACTCTTGGGCTTCTCTGGCAACCTAAGAGTAAATGAGTGAAATTGTTTACATTTTCCAAACACAAGTATGAACATCAGCACATATAAACTATGCTATGGTTGCACCTGTCAAAGCTGGTGTTCAAGAGAGACTTGGCAGACTTGATTCGCTGTAATGTATTCCTTGATGTCCCAGGTTTCATAATATTTTTGAAGTCATCAGGGTCATCATCAGCTCCACACTCATTTTTATTATTCTTACCAATGAACAACTTGTCTACAGTCCTGGGCTTGATGAGTTTCAGCTGCTTCATCTTCTTGGAACTTTTGCTAGGGCTAAGGTTGGCACAAGATTTAGAACGCATAGTAAAGTCACGTATAGGCTTAGGAAAAATTTCTTGAGGGCCTGAATCAAACTCTGCAGCAAAGAGATCAGGGCTTGATCTATTATGTTTAGTTTGGGCTGAGTTTGCAATAGGACTAACAGGAATATTCAACTTCCTCTTCTTGCGTAACTGAAGTGCCTTGGGAACTAAAGTACTCGTGAATATGACACTGCTTGGACCTTCACTTTTCTCAGACATCAGATCATCATCTGTTTCAGGCACAAAGCCAAGGGCTGATAAGTCTAGATCCATAGGAAGCACAGGGCTTTGCCCCTTGTCAAATGAAATTGGGTCCTGGTTGGAGGATCTTGCACTAGGCTTCTTGAATACAGTATCCACCATTTGCATCTGCATCCCTATCAATGCAAGATGTTGGTGTCATTGATAGTTACAAACTGAATAATGTGACTGACAGCTCTATTACCTTCTTTTTTTGGAGTTTTTGTAGGTGACTTCTTGGTGGTCATTTCCAATATTGTTTGATGGCTCTTCCTGGGGAGAAATGGCATTGGAAAGGAACCAAATGGCATGAACCTTAGGGACATGAAATATACATACTGCAGCTTACATAAGCAGTTCAAATTTTTGCTTGAGCTGTTCATGTTCCTTTGTCACTTCTCTCAGCTTCTCTTCAGCTGCCTGCAATCTTGAGACCTCAGCTTCACAAAATGAGATCTTGTTTCTCAAATCAGCATTTGCTTCCTCAAGTTGTGATACTTGTTCTTGGGCCATTTGATGAGCTTCTTCAGCATCTCTTGCTTTGTTTTGAGCTGCCTCTAGTTCCTTGCATTGTTCTGCATCAAATAAGTCAGGTGATTGAAAATACTGCCAAGTTTAAAATGCTACTCCTAGCATTTTAAACAGGGCACTGGGCCTCGCATATCTGTATTTTCAATGCATTATGCTATGAAAATCAATGGACATGGTAGAAATTTTTGGAACTCTGGCAGGACTAAAATCAGCACACATAGATTGCTACTTGATGCTCTTCCAATAGGAAGCTATAGGAGCTGCAAAGCTTCCTCACTTCTCAACTCTCTTTGTTGCCTTAAACATAATTAAACTAGGCCTAATAAGCTCCTGGAATGGGTCACAAGCCAGCACCTACAATTTAGAAATTGTATTATTTGGTATGGACAATCCCTACATGACTTCTGATATGCTACCAGTGAAGTGAACAAGAAGAATCCTAAATATGTATACTTTGTTTTACTTACATCATTGCCTGCCCAGTATCTAACTAGTTTACTCTATAGCAGTCAAGAACTTACTGTGAAAGCACTCGTACATAGCACGCGCCAACATGTTCATCTTCATTGTCTGGACATCTGTCTCACGCTGGATGGATGCACTGTTTGCCCATTTTTCATCAAACAGGCCTTCCCAAACATCACGTAAGCCTGGGGCATCCTTTTCATTTTTTTCATTCATCACTTTTATGATACCAGCTTGGCCAGAATCTTGGATTGTCTATGCTAAGGAGCAGACTTGGAGGAAGGCAATACAAGAAATGGAACCAAAAGGAGTCAGGAGTGATCCTGAAATGAATTCCACATGGATATATTTCATGCCCCTGCATAAATAATTATTTGCATTTTTTCACACCTTTTCATATCTAGATCCATTTTCATTCCTGGACATGAAGTTGATGAAGAGAGAAAACAAAAAGGAGACACTATAAAACACTGGTTGAGGTCACACCCATGAAGGAGAAACAAATCACAAAGAAGTTAAGAATTAAACCAAAGAACACAAACAGACAGGAAGAAAAAAAAGAAATAGAAACAGCACAATGATATCAAGCACAAAATGCAAAAATTAGTGGGAAAAAATACTGACTTTTTATCATTTGCCTCAGCCAGAAAGATTTTGTGATATCTTAATTTTATCCTTGAGTTATTGAACTTATGTCCCATGGTAGACTTGTATGGAATTGTATTGATGTTGCTGTTGCATTACATCTGAGTTCCTGTAATTGCAGGAATCAGCCATTCTTACATGATTGATTAAATCATATTTGATTCCAATTTCTTCAATTGTTTCCTCCTATACTATTCTCTTCTATTGTATTCCAGTTTCCTTCAATACAAGCTGGAAAATTATTCCCATTACATTTGAGTCAATGTATTCCTCCATTTTCAAGTCTTCAATAACAGACCTTTGTTAGATGCTCAGATCTTTGCCTTCGGGGTCAAATATGCTTCGAGATAGGCAGAGGTAGTCTCTGGTTCATCACCTATAATGGTGCTATATGTTACTTATGGTATCTGGCCTGGGCCTTGGCGTAGCATACCTCTATCTGAGCCTAACTGCTAGGTTCGAAACGCAAACATTTGACTTAATGGGTTCGGCCTGCTGAACAGAAATGTATGCTTTTTTTTAGTTCGGAAACTGCACGATAATCGTAGACAGGTGTCAGTCATCTGAAAAGGATGTCGAACATACATCTTTAAAAGGGCAGGGCTCTTCTGTTTCTCACAGACTACATTTGATTTCACTCGCGCGTCGCGCGTAACACATGGCCACTGCCCACCTAGCGGAGAAATTGTATGGTTGGTCAATTGTTGTGACGTCACTGCTCCAAATCCAATATGGCGCAGCTCTGTGGAAGCAGCGGGAGTGCAGGGCTGAATTTAGCAATGAGAGGATTGTCTCTTTCCCCATATTCGTATTGCCGGTCCTTCCGAGCTGCCAGGTCTGCCCTCATCCAGTCCCAGAGAACCATAAGCACATCAAAAGGGCAGAAAGATGTGATTAGTCAGGGTGTGACACCAAGGATCCCTTCTTTTGAGAAACCTATTCTACCTCCATTGTCTGAGGAGCAGAAAAAGGTGCCTTTCTCATTTTGCGTTATGTATGCAATGAATTCATATTCGAATGGCAGTAGCTATAGTTCCACCAAATGAAGCCTACCTCAGGATTATTCTCTTTCCACTGATGGCCACACATTCACACTTAGTCCCATGACTGCAAGGCTTTATCTCCCCTTGGAAGCTACCTCCTGTGACTCTTAGCTACATCTATGTCGAGGCCGTTGTTGAACCAAGTCAGACTCATGATTCCCTGAGTGTGGTAGAACTAAACTTTGTCCATGGACAAAGTGACAGTTTTTAGAGAAGACTGCCAAAAGGGAGGAATGATTGGCAGTGGTTGATCTCCACAAATCCAGATAGGGTCTGTCCAGAGATCCATCAGCTCCTCCTTGTACAGTTACATCTTGCTGAGGGAGAGCACATTTTTTCACTTGACTCAGATACAGATGTATAGGAAGTGCTCCATGCACAAGTGCCCAAGTCCAGTGAAAAATGCCAGATCCGATTGGAAAACACGAGGAAACTCATGAATGACTTGTTGACCCTGTATGCTTCACAAAGTAGCTTTGCTTGATGAACATGGAGCATGGCACTGTTGGAAGCAAAGTCAATGTACTGCCTATCTTTTCAAATTGATTTTTCAGGTCCACCTGCTTGCAAAGTTTCCATGTCAATCTAAATTAGTGGCATATGAATTATGTTTACAAATGTACCAGTCACTCAAAATTCAGTTTGTCCCACCCAGCTATCCAATGCTGTTAACTTGTTTCTTTTTCAATTTTGGATTGTAGAATTGGATCAGCTATGGCTTTGATCTGGAAGACAAGAAGGAAGACCGAAACATGATGCATCGAGGCATGTTTCTCGCCATATCTGTCCTCTGTGTTGGGGGTGCTGTGGTCCTCATGTATGGACCTGATTACAAGTATGTTCTTTGATGGGTTAAGTTTTTCTTCATCCATACTTGAAAAGCAATCCTTAGTCAAGTTTATCCTTTGATTTAGGCTTAGCCTTTCAGTGTTTTTATACATGAAGAGTGGCATCTGAAAGAATTAGAACTTGATGGAACACTCTTAGCAATTCCACATTTGCTATCATCCCTGATGGTAGACGATCAGTTAACCTTTGCTAAAGCTTTTTATCACACCTCTTAATGAGTCTATGCTTCCATTGTTACTTTCCACAGGTTAATCGATTGGTCCCAGAGAGAAGCATATATGGAGCTGACAAGACGAGAAAAGCTTGGACTTCCATTGATTGATCGTAATTTGGTAGACCCTGCAAGAGTGAACTTACCCTCAGATGAGGAGTTGGGTGATACTGAGGTCATCATCTGAATGTGTTCTTGCAACATAAGTCCATTCATATTACATGCTAGAGCGTCAATTGCTATAGGTTTGATTGGAACAAAATAAAGCTCTTTTCTGTCTTAATTGTGATACTATCTAGGTGAAATATAACTTCAATCCCCAACCCCAAAACATTTCTTTTTTGCTTATGCAGGAAATCCTGAGAGAATGTCAGTAGCTAATGAACTTGAAAGTGTCTTGTTTATAGTTCTTTACACTAAAACAATGCATTATATTAAGTTGTCATGAAGCAATACAAGATGTGGCTGTGTGGCTTTTCAGCCTATTTCTTTACCAACATTAGACAGTTTGTCACAGACAAGAAATGACCATAGTTTTTTGAGAACACTGCTTCATAATCAAGATTTAGGGAATGCTTAGTGCTGATGTTAAACCAGCCCTGAGCAAAGTTTTGTTACTGGACTTATGTATAATCAGGTTGATGTGTGAATATTCATCCTAGGCCTATGTAATATTTTCCTTCACAATAGTTGTTACTATGCTTATATTGCCTCATTGAGGTTTAACCTCAAGATACTCATTTTGAGTACCTGGGCAAGTAAATGTCATGCTTTTTGTTCCTCTTGAGTTTTGATATTCTTGAAATTTGAGTAAATTTATCTATGCATACCATTCAGAATTTTTAGGCCTGTGATATTTGAGATTAGTTGAAAATAATTTGACTGGTCAAGGAAGGTACCCAGGTGCTTATTATGCATGGAGGTGGAGAGGTGAATTGGTCTAGAAAATGGAGGAAAACCATAATCGAATTAGCAGCAGACCCAACAGCAGACCCTCAACTCCTGTCTCTGGCTCAGGTGGTGATGATGAACATAGGCATATCAGGTGTGGCAAGCATGATAACTATAACCTTTGTGTTTGAAACAGCTTGATAGTGAATGAATTGATGCCAAATTTTGATGCTGTAGGAGGCCATTCCACTATTATGGAAGTGTGGGCCATACCCCAGAGGTGGAAGTTACAGAACCATCATTGTCAGATGCCTCTGAAAGAGAGAAGGTGATGCTGAGTCGTGTGCGGTATTATACTCGTCTCCGCCGCCATGTTGATTCCACAGATGAGATCTTGGTGAGATTCCTCCTAGAAAGTATTGCAATAGAAGATTAAAGTTTCTAAAGCCATCTAATTACTACCTTTTTTAAAATTTCCACATTTTTTGGCTTTTTACTTTGAATGGAATTTGAGCATGTGGAGTACCAAGTGATGAAGCCTACAGTTCTGTCCAATTCCCTGCTCTTTATCTAGATTACTGATTACCCTGCCAGATTACCATCTGAGGAGATAGGAAAAAATGTTGGCAATTTTTTTTTTTTTGGGGGGGGGGGGGAACTATGCAATTTGCCTGCATATGATTTTGACCTCATTTACTGGATTGGTTGACAGATTTATCAGAAATAAGTTAAAATTCAATATTTTATGCATCATTATTGTTTATATTTTTATGCATGTGAGGTAGTGTGCTGATGAAGAGCAATAAGTAGAGCATCCTGACTTCCATTGAAAGCATGTGGCTAGGTCCAAGTCTGTAGTGTGCTTATGTCTTGCATATAACTCAACTCCATTAATCTTGCTTTGGTACATGTGAAGAACGGGGTCTTCTGCCCTTTTACAAAAGAAGAGAAGGAGGAAATATACTGTTTACTCCTCCTGAGGTGTTGAAAAGAGAGTTGCAGGAATCTCATCCTTTTCTACTCATGATATTTCATTAGTGTCTTTATTTTAATAAAGTTAAGTAATTTACTTGGAAAGATCACGAGGGTTTCCATTTCTCCAGAATTTCTGTCTGGCGAACCTGCCTTAACTCTCGAATCTGGAACGGGACCAATTAATATTGATCACTTGTTACGTCACATACATGATCCTTTCTATGCCCTGAAACCAGGGGTCAGGAACCTTTTTGACCATGTGAGCCATATTAAGATTGAGCTAAGTGCTCATGAGTCAAAGATTTTCAAAACCACTGAATTTTTTCAAAGTTGGCAACAGATGTGTATTACTGTGATACATGAGGAAAATGAGGAACAACCATGATTTTTAGCCATGACTCATGAGCCAAATTTATTGGCTCATGAGCCATAGGTTCCTGATCCCTGCCTTAGACCTTTGAGAAAGTGCAAGGGAATCAGTGCATAGGTCAAGCATAAACAATGGTTCCCTTTGCATCATTTCCCATCGTTTTGGTTGATAGATTTTGCACTTCTAACTCTTCATATGTGTACCAGTCACTGTTGGTGGTATCATCACCCTCAGCAGAACCACTCATCCAAAAAGATGTGTGGAGTCCTATTTCCCTCCTGCATGAGGGAATGAGACTCCTTTGGGCAGAGCAGCCTGAATGAACCCTTTATCAAATTATATTGAGTATTTTGAGAATGAGTAAAATCCAGTGATAGAGGATCACTTGGGTCATTGACTTATGAGTGAAAACTTATATTTAAAAGCAAAGCTGGATAATTACAATTCATTGGAGGGATGACCTTGGCTCCTGGGAGAGTGCATTTAAGAGTCCTAAGGATAAAGGGGAGAGGGAAAGGGAGCTCTCAAATTTTGACTCCCGCTGATCTGGAAGTCACTAGTACTCCTAGTTATATGAATGAGGATATATGACTCCACTGGCAACTATCCAAGGATGATAGAAGTGGACTGCAGTGTCCATGGTGTATAGGGAGTAAGGTCTGTTGGTGCAAGATATAACATTGAAGGGAGGGATGAAGCATGTGCTGTGAGGCATGGTGGTCATATAAACATACCATGCCTGACCTGTGTAAAAGCCAATTCACTCTTGGCATGCTCGAAATGCTATGCATTTGTACCTGCATCTCAATGCATGATGCTAGAACACCCCTGCATCTTGTCAAATAGCTATGGTTGGATTTTGACTCACTTGCAATCTTATTCTCCTCCCTCTGACATGCATGCAGACATCCTGAATGGAACTGATCCCAATTCCATACACAAACCCTTTATGTTACTCCTTGGATGGTTACTGGGCATGTGTGTGCACACATGCAAAGGCTTATCTGCTCCTGCAATGACCCATTGCATGCAGCATGTACAGAGCATGAAATGGAATTTAGGATTCACCTGCTGACCTGGATAGCCTTTGAGAACAATTGAGTTCTTGGGTTATTACAATTATGATTATTGGATTGTCTATGAAAAGAGTATAAACATATTATGTATTGGTAAAAAGAGGTATAATTTGCAGTCCTATTTTTGCTATTTTGATGGGAATAAATTCTTGCACTCGAAGAGCATAATTATGGGATTTCTCTCTCTCATAGCGCCTCCCAGACCATGTCGTGCCAAACTCCTTTTTCTATGCTCTCCTTCCCCTCCCACCACCTGAAATCCCATCACAAAGCAGCCTTATCACAATGTGAGTCTATAGCATAATCCTGATTTCCATCAATTTGAAGTTTAACTCTTATGCAATTTCCCATAGAGAAATCTGACATTAATGTCAGATGACATAATGGCTGAGATCTCTTAGATGGGATATTGACTGGGCTTCAAATGTAGCACACATAAGAAAGTACTGTTTCATGTTTTCAAGTTCAATTGTGTCTTACAAAATGAACAAATAATATGTAGAAAACAGAACAACTTGTGAAAGTTTTTACTGTGCAGAATCCTTTCATTTAACATGAGTCACCTAATGTCATATTCAATGCATGTAAGTGATTTCCCAAAAGTTTGGATAAAATTTATTGCTCAAAATGCTATTTATTCAACATGGATGGGATGGAAATATATTGAAGTGTGAACAAGTGATGTGATTTAGGAATGACTGGATGCTAGAGTGAAATCTCTTGATGCAGAATGGCTTTATTATATATTTCCATTAATTTCTACTGTACAGCACAACAGAGTGTCTTGAATTAGATGGAGCTTGAAGTGGGGCTTGGGAAGGTCTCTATTGATAGCCTGTGTGGAATTAAAAATATATATTTCTCATTCATCCAGTCCATCCTGACTCCTTGTCATTTTCCCATTGATGCAATTTTAAAGGACATCAATCCCTCTTTATGTGGATGCATAAAAAAAGCCTCCTCCCATGTTAGAACCCAGGAGTGGATGCAAAAAGCCTATTGCCACTGGAAATGTTTAAAAAACAGTAACATCACAGCACAAATGCTAGGGGCCTTTGCTTATAACTTTCCCCATTCACACTTGAACTGAAAATATTTTGTTTTTAAAAATGACAGGGAGGGATGGAGACACCTTTTGTATATCCTTGATGTTGCTGTCTCTGACACACCCAGTACATATAATATTTTATTAATTCATTTAACCAAAATGGTGCCATATGAGATGGAGGTGTCAGTTGTGCCATAGAGCATATTGCAATCGTTGTTGGTGCCAGTGCCTGATCTTGCTCTTCTGTGTAACAGATTTGCAATCTGGAATACGATGATGGGGACATCCCTCCTGAGCATGCCATGGGCACTGGAACATGCAGGCCTTGCCCTTGGCCCCATAATAGTTTTCTTCATGATGCTTCTCTGCCTGTATACAGCCCATCTTACAATCCATCTCCAAAAGGAAGCTGGTCAATTCATATAACTATCACTATCTCTGATATTTGAATTAGAGAATTTTATCTTGAATTGAAGTTTATGTGGATTTTTAAATCTAGGGATTGAAGGTGAGATCCTAGAAGTTCCTGGGATTTGTGGAAGGATATTTGGAAAGTGGGCTGAATACACAACAGCATTATTCTTCTGCCTGGCTCTCCTAGGAGCTTGCATTGTCTACTGGGTCCTTCTCTCCAATTTCCTCTACCATACTGTGGACTTCCTTCATGGTTGGTATCAGAAATGTGCTTATATGGGTGTGATTTGGGTGAGAGAGGATTTATACCATGACCATGTAATACCTTGGCAGGCTACATGATGACATGTGATCTGAATCACAGGGTTCAAGTTATGATGGTAGGATGCTCAAGTTAAAATTGACATGATCCAATAACATTTAGTTGTAATGGATATATTGGGAAGTGAGGAAGACCACTTGACCCTAACTCAGTATGGGCAGTTATGTTGGTTTACACCACTGTCTCCAATGAACAAGATGCTCTCCTTTTGTTTATGTGGCAAAATCTCTTGGCACTAGGACTTCTCCTTTGATTGAGTTTGATACCAGAAGGTTTTATATACTCACTCAAAAAATAAATGCATAGCTGCAATATGATTATATTGTAAGTACAGTTGAATGATGTGACGTGTAGCTATTAAGTTCACTCTGCCCTACTTGAATTAAGTGTTTGACACCATTTTGCTCTTGAATTTGCACTATCTGTAACTGCTTGTGCATGAATTCAAGTTTTATGTAACAACCCAGTACAATGCCCCTGGATAGCATTCTTTCAATGAAACCTGGTGCAAGGTCATGTGATGCTGTTTTCAATAAAATGGCCAGGTTCTCATCAATAGTTAGGCAGTTGTTGTAGTGCAGTAAAGTCATCAAGGATGCCAAGACTCTCAGAGGCAGATTGCCATAATGCTATTGGGAGATTGGAAGCTGATGAACCCTAGTTATCAGTTGCAAGACATTTTAATGTGCACCAGAATACCATCTCAAGGTTATGGGATCGGTTCCAGCAACATGGTTCAATGCGTGACCATCCACACTGGCAGGTCACACATCACCACCCCTGTGCAAGATCAGTACATTTGGCTCAAACATCTGCAGGATCAGTTTGCTACAGCATCAGCAGTGTCTGGAGGGCAGAAAATGTCAGCTCAAACCATCTGCAAACTGCTTACAGACGGCAGGTTTGTTGAGATCACAACAACCACTCTGTGGGTTTGTACTGCAAGACCAGAACAGGCAACTTTGTTTGCAGTGGTGTCACAGGCAAAGGGTATGCTCTCAAATGCATTGGAGAACAGTCATGTTAAGTGATAAGTCCTGGTTTCTTCAGAGAGGTACTGATGGCCACAGTAGGACTACCCACTGTCACTATGTGTTTCTTTTTTGAGTGAGTATATATCAAGTGTGGGCTTTCATTTTTCCTGTTTAAAAATTTTCATGGAGTTATTTATGAAATTGCCATGAAAATTACTTTTGCTTTCACAAAAGTAATTCCCCTCAGTTTTTCTAGTCCTTTAATTGCTTGAATGGAAACTCAAGAAGATATCACCTTAATGAGTTAATTTTGGCATTAATTTCACTTTTGGTGAAATTAATGCCAAAAGCAGAAATTATTTAGCACTGGTTGGCCCATGGATATGTACTTGATTTTAATCAACTTTATTTTCTCAACCAATAATCATACAAATGTATGATTTTAATGTAAAAGACAACGAATAGAGCATCTCTCAAAGTTCTTGTGTCATCCTTTTCAATTAGAAGGTAGGCTCAATGTGTCCATAATGATAGTGAATGCAGACATGCAAGCACCTATGTTGGACACATTGGCCAACCCTTGTAATTGTGCAGGGTGTCACAGAATATTTGACAGATGCTCAGCCTACTGCTTCTTGCACCTAATCTATTTTCTCTTTTGATCAGCTATATATGGAAAGCCCTGCCAGAATAATTGAAGCACCCTTTTCTAAAATGGCAGTTGGCATTGGCATTTTTGTCCTTCATTGCTTAACCCTTTGGGGTCTGAGTTTTTCTTTTACTGTCTGCACATGCTGATCCAAGTTTTTTTTCACTCCCTCAAAGGAATAAGAAAAAATGCATGACTGCAACACTCGTACGAATGGGGTTACGCTTCCAATATGTTATTCTAAACATTTCAAGCTATTTTCATTCTAGATATATCAACTTAGTTTTAAAAATAAAACGAATGTCAGTGGAAAGCTTCTTTCAACACTGGAGAAGGTGTGGTAGCACTCCATGCACTGGTGGACTTATAGGGGCTTGTCACAGGTGTCGCACATTTAATGCACTTCTTGTTGCTTCTTTGGGCCCATGCACAAGTGGTTGCACATGTGAAACACTAGTCTTTCCAAAAACGACTGTCTTAAGTTTCTGGTAGGTGCTTGATTGATTGAACTTTTTCTCACATGCCCAATTAGCATACTTAATGTATGAAACAGTGTGGTCTCAGAAGTGTGTGTTAGGGACGAGTTCATCTTCTGGGATATCTCCTTGTAATATTGGTTTGTCTCCTGCACCAACTTTTTGCACAGTTTATGTGTAAAATGTTCAGAAAAAAATATTGTTCTTGCACTACAATTTGACTCAAAGGATGATTCCATATCTTAAGAAAATCCCAGGAAACAAAGGTCATCATTTGAATCATTATTCAAGTCAAACTCTAAGTCAGAATGTAGCAAATCTTCAGCATTTACCTCTTTTTTTATAGTTTGCAGTGAGTCATGTTTACTAGACTGTAGCTGAATAGCTGATAGAAGTTACCACAATACACAATACAATTACTAGGATTTGAAACGTGACGTCAGTGCCGGGCAACGTGTCAGGACAGATAATGTAATATGAGTATATGTAATATGAATATAATAATGATAGTAATGAGAAAACGCAAAACTAGAAATCTTGGGTGTGGACCCTGAAAGGGTCCACGGGTGAAGGAGGGGTGAAGGGTGAAGGATTTCTATGTACTGATTCCTTAAACAATGATTGTGATTGTAGATAATTGCTACTTTGGTGGGTGTTCAAATAAATATGGCTGGGATCAAAATAAAATTTTCCTGTTGATTGAAATGTTACAATGGTTGGACTAGACCAAACCACTTTTTGAATATCTATGAAAGTGTTGGCATGCTAAGTGATAAGTTGCCCTACAGACTGAAGTTTATTTCTTTTTTATACAAATCCTTGTCATAATAATTTGACCACCTACATAAAAGTTGGGATATCTACAATTGTAATTACTGAAGGTAGTATATTTAGATGTGTTTTAAACACTAATTCTTTAAAAGAATTAGGGTATATGCAATTCAAATACATCATATGAAAAGTCACTCCCTATTTTTAAATTGTTATTGTTCCTAAACTAAAGGAGATATTGTAACCATTCTTTCACTGTTTTTAAGCTTAATCATTACCATTTATATTATAGGTCAATAATGGCTAAAAAAAAATTAAGCATAGAAGAACAAGCAACTCAATTTAATAGGTCATTGAGGGCCAACAGAATGGCCTGCTCTAAGTCCAGATTTAACACCATGTGACTTCTTTCTGTGGGGCTGGGCCAAAGAAGTTTACAAATCAAAACCAAGGACCATTGATGAACTTGAAAACAAATTTGATGATGTTCTTGGTAATGTACCAGGTGACTTCTTCATAAAATCTGTTGAAAATGTACTGGTAAGATTATAGAAGTGCATGGACAATGCTGGAGCCTACGTTGAATTTTAACTTTGCAATAAAGCTTTTTAATTTTGTAATAAAGTAAACAGTAATAAATAAGCTTCATTTCAGTTAAAGAAATGTTTTAATATCTCCTTTAGTTTAGGAGCAATAACAATTTAAAAATAGGGAGTGGTTTTCAGACACTCTGTAGATACATTCTAGTTTCATTTTTCATAACTCCATGTCAAATATATTGCTTTATGTGCTGAAATTATTCTGGCAGGGAGGACTCAGTAGTTAATCTAAATCTAGTAAATGTCTGGTCCACCCTGTATATGCGTCTTTGGCAAGAATACCAATATCTGGTTGTTCTACCAATGCCAGTTCCCTGTTAGCTTTCTTAGCTAATGGATCTATTTTATTATCTGTGAGGAGTGTACAAGCTGGCCAAGATGTGATTGGCATCTGAGAAGAGGAAAAATTGGAGACAAAGCTTAATCTAAGTATCTCTCTTGCAGATGAAGTGGAAGGCAATGCCACTAGAAGTCTGCACAAAGGAACTGGGTTTAATGGCAAGTCAACAGGAATTTTCTTTCCAATTTGACAGAAATTTCAGTCATTATAATTAGACATCCTGGTAATGCAGTGATCTGTCCAAGTGGGAATGAGACTTCAAAGAACTTAACAGAATTCAACATAATACCAAGTGACTCCCATGAAGCAGAAGGGCAGTTTCATCGCTTCTGGACCCTGAACCTTACAGCCCCCCTCACACTCATTCTCATCCTGGGTCCTATTCTGAATCTCAAGTCTCCCACCTTCTTCACAAAGTTCAATGCTTTTGGTGAGAATTTTCATTTGGATTTACTGAGTTCCCTTACTTTGAGGCTTCACATGAATCTTGCATTCTCAAGGTCTACCCAAATATGTATAGGTTTTAATTTTTATGCAAATTTTTCAATTATTTATTAGTATTTTACTATTACTTTCTGAGTAATTATTGTATTCATCCATCCATCCACAGATACATAATGGAGTTTTTCTTTTTACCATGTGGATCATACCATAAGGTAACATGTGAGCCCTGTATTAGTTTTAATAGAAAGATAAACTGGAAATGGGAAAAATTTATTGCCTGTATTGTTACACTACTGGAAAACAAAACTTTGATACAATTCAGCTTTTAGAATTTTAATGAATGCCAAGATCTTGTCTCAAGAGCTAGCCAATCTCATGGGACATGTGGAAAAATAGCAGGAATGATGTTAAAATGAAACATTTGAACCAAAAACCCAGAAACCAAATGGGATACCAGTGATATTTTATTATCCATCTCTTTTCCTCTCATCTCTATATTTTCGCTCCTGATTGTTATTTGTGAAGACTACTTATGATTGCTATGTAGAGACTTGCAGCAAGAGGCAACCCTTTCTGCAATTTAATGGAATTCCAACCCTAGCAGTTGTCAGGGAAATTCAGACCAACTAGTGTTGCTTGCTTTAATATGAGGCTAACATAGGCAGATGAGGTCTCTTCTCATCTGAAGCACCCCAGTAGTTGTAGAGGTCATCTCATGGAATTGGATGAAGTGTGATATGCACATGCCATTTTTCATGCCTTACTTAAAAATTAACCTCTAGCAACATGTTCTGCAGTGGCACTCTTGGGATTTTTGAGGTAATGGTTTACAAATAAATTTTGACCTCTCTGGAGAGCCATGATATAGCATGTGCTACTTTGTATCTAATGAAACTATTTTGACAATACTAATGCTCTTTAAAGAAAAATTATGAAGAAGTTTTTCAAGAGCTTCCAGACGAGTTAAAGTCATATTCAATGCAGAAATGAAGAAGGGTCATTAGATGAAAGTCTAATGCCTCCTTTTGCTGTAAAAAGTAATTATTTCTAAATTCTAAATGTGATGTGCCATTGTTGCTAAACCATACTCAGAGAATGAGTTTTATAGTTCCTGAATAATGGTATGTAATTCTGGTTTAGGGCAAGAAACGCTTGAAATAACGAACAAAAATATCAGCTATTTTCATGAAGTTCCAGGGTTTTCTTTGCTTAAAAACTTGATTAGAAGCAATTGTCTAAAGGCTCCATGACATAGACCTTCATCATTGCAGTTAGATAGCTTCTGCAAGTATACAACTTTCATTTCCCACTTTCCAAATCATGTCCTTGTTGTATTTACAAAATGAAAAATTTTTTTTTTTTTTTTTACTGGATTTTTTTTTACTGGAAAATATTGAATTACTTCCTTACATCTCTTAGCAATATATTTCTAATATTGTGTTTTCTTCTGGAAACTGTCAACAGGTACACTTTCCATCATCTACATAATGGCATTCATCATTGTGAAGGTGACTACATTTGGTTTCCATGTGGATGTGAATGACACGAGTGCAAGTGACTACATGCCCCTCTGGAAACCCCACTCAGCCCATATCCTATCAGGAATCCTTGCTTTGGCATTATTCATCCACAGCGGGATCATAACTATCATGAGCCGACAGGAGAAGCCCGAGAACAACGTTAAGGGGTTCCCATTTAGCAGATGTTGTTCGTTTCCCCTTAAAATGGTCCTTTTTTCAACATACACTTTGTTTTCAATATAGACACGGGACCTCTGTGCGGCTTACATCCTGGTAACCCTTTCGTACCTTGCAGTGGGTCTCTTCTTTTACCTGGGGTTCCCCCTGCCAAAAATCTGCATTGAAGACGTGAGTCCCTGAAAGTGCTCAATTTTACACAATAATTGGAAGTGTGAATCATTTCATTTGAATTATTATTTTATTTGAAAATATTTAGTGATAGAAAAAGATAATGATACTCCTGGATATGCTCCATGCATTCAAAATTGCTGAACATCTTTCCAAATTATCCTGGATTGAAAGAGGGGAAAAGAGAAAAAACCTTTATCTTTGTCTTCAAAGGACTAATACTAAGCAAGCAGGGCTTGCATGGAAAACTGAGTTCTTTGCTAATTTAGTCAAGATGTTGTGAATTTGGTCAGCTAGTTGGCATCCCCCTTTAAATCCCTCCCGCTGTGAAAAGTGTGGTTACCACAATTGATTTTATTCTCAACAGCAGTGATTTAAGGGGGCCTCTAAAATGTTTCATCCTCTTTATCATTCTTCAGTCATCATGTCAGTACCTGTCAAATTCAGTGTACTGCTTTTGTATCCCTTATATGGCCAAACCTAGTTCTTTCAACTGTCTGGCATCATTTATATGCAGACTGCTTGTATCAAGTTCTTCCACTTGCTCTCAAAGGCATTCCAGTGATTGATGTAGCTTGTTGACTCAGCTGATCAGTGGTTTGCTAAGGGTCTAAATTGCTTGTTTTATTTTCTTTTTTGAAGTAATTACTCTATGCTCAAACTTTTTACTTTGCAGAATCTTCTGAACAACTTTGTGGGAGATGATGTGATGTCTGCAGTGGCACGTGTGATGTTGCTCTTTCAAATGATCACAGTTTTCCCTCTGCTAACATATGTGTGTCGATCTCAGGTCCTTTACTTATTCACCTCGCAAGCCTATCCAGGTTTTCTCCCAGTACTTGGTGTGAATGTGGTCATCGTCACAGTGTGCACCTTGTTTGCTATCTTCATGCCACGTATTGGGACCATCATCCGTTATGTGGGTTCATTTTGTGCCCTCGGCCTAATCTTCACATTTCCTGTTGCTGGACATCTCCTTGCCAAGCATCGCAAAGGCCACCTCACCCGTCCAAGTCTCATCATTCATTTGGCCATCATTGCTGTAGGTGTCATCAATTGTGGGCTGCAGTTCCAGCAGGAGAGCTGAATTCAATGAGTCTGTGATACATATGACTTTCATCTTAAAGTGTATGTCCTTTGTGGTTTTTATACTCAAGTCTTTCTCAGCATGAGGACTTCACATGAATGGTAAATGTCCAAAAAATATTTTCTTGGCCTGCAACAAGAATGTGGAGATTGTGTTGATGCTCATTTTTATAATGGAAAAACCCAAGTAAAGAGATTTAGCAGGCAGTGGTTTTAGATTATAAATGCGTGCTTAAAAGCATTTCAAATTTCTATTGTTGCAATTCCATTTTGAAGAGATATTCAGTTGTTATTAAAGTTCCTTCCCATATTGGTTGCATAATGAAATCTTTTCTTGCAACAAAAAAAAACACCCTGAAACAAATACAAGTTTTCAATCCAAATCTACAAAAGAAAAAAAGTTTCTTAATCCCAGAGGGAAATAAAACAAAACTAATACGAACAAAACCTGACTCATGCTGCTGATGCAGACTCTTCCTGTGTCAACAAGAAGAGAAAGACTTCGCTTGATGTACCATTAATGGGGTTCCACGTTCGATGCTGCGAGCTCAGGCAGACATGGAGGACCTCTGTCCACTAGGGTGACAGCCATAATCCATTGAGCTGGGCCTAGGAGCACCACTTGGAGGTGTGGACTCAGGTCCGTGAGAGCAGTTATATGTGGAGGCCAGGATGGATGGTAGGTCTGGATCCCAGAGGCTAGAGTACAATTAAAACTTACTAGAGATTTTAGCACTGGCACCTCTTCACATTCACCTGGCAGGTAAATGCCGTATCTACTCCCAAGTGACTTCCGAAACCTGAAACTTTCGCATTTTTGCCCAGCCCGGAAAAGGAGCGTTTTAGCGCTCCGAGCTCTTCAACAAAGAATGGAAGCACCGCTTCCGTGCTTCGTTACAGGGGTGGATTGCACAAAACTAATGCCAGCATTAGCCTAAAGCTGTATTAACTGAAGGTTAAAGTGAAGTAATGCATAAAAAAATTTTAAGTTACATTGGTTAACTGACATTAGCGCTTCCTAATGTGCATTAGCAACTCCGTTGACATATATCAGGGACCCGCAAGAATGTCGTTCGCTTCGGCAACGTTCGAAAATTGAATTTTTTTTCTAATCGACGCCCACTAAAGTACGAGGGTGAGTCAAAAAGTAACAGGTGGTCTTTGACTTTGCTGTCGTCTCGTGTGCTTCCTACAGTTACGAAAAATGGCGGCTAAGGGTCTTGATTGCAACCAAGGAAGAGTCGCGTTTTGTGATCCGTTTTTGGTCGAATATGGCAATGCAATTCTTCGCCGACTCAGGGCAGTTTACGAAAAGAACTGTATTAAAGCAATGTTGGTGGGTGCGAAAGTTCCAAAGTGAAAGGGCGAGTGTTGCAGACGCGGCTCCTTCGAGTCGGCAACACAAGTCGAATGATGCGACACGCAGTGGAGTTGTCGATATACGCGAGGAAGCTTTATTGGATTTAGTTTTTGCGACGAACGACGATCTGGCACGAGACGTTAAGGTACAGGATAACTTGGGAGATTCGGACCACTGCGCGATCACGTGGAATATCAAGCGGACGAAGAGTAA